TCCTCATAGCCTCCAATAATTCCGTCAATGGTAATTCTCTGTGCTCGGCCTTTGCGTGGAATCACTTTGCAGCTTTTCCCTTTAATTTTGTAGTCACCAATAATTGTCCCATTTGTTCATCAAGATTGAACACTCTCACAACATATTTCACTTGTCTTTCCCATTCATCAAATTCTGTCCCTTCACTGAAATCAGCCAACGAATCTCCAATCGTCTTGAGACGATCCAATTGAAGGCGACTTCAATGATTGATTGGGAGTACCAACAGGCCGCTGTGGTAACCCCAACTCTTGTTCTCTTTGTAATAAAGCTCTCTCACGTTCCATCAATGCAACTTTATCAGCTAGCAGCTGTCTCTATCTTTTCACCAATTCAAGTTCTTGTCTCAATAATTCGTTACTATGCACTGCAAACTGTGCCTCACTTTCTCGTTTATTTCTCTCATCTGCATCTAAATCCTGTGGATTATTTTCCTCCAGCCAATGACCGTCCGGATCATCCTCCATTAATGAACTAATTAACTCAGCTTTAGAACCTGCGACTGACAGATTCTTCTTCCTCAATATTTCCTTCAACTGCACCACTGTGAAATCGTTCGCTTCCTTCGTCATCTTGAATTTTCCTTCACTTAATTTTCTTGAAACTTAATGTTCTACCAACTTAAATATTCTCACTTTTTCACTTGAATCGATTGATTACTGATTTGAGCACTTTTGGACTTATTCCTCAGCTCCTCAATGAAAAATCCTGTCAATATTTTTATTTCAACGGAAATATCTCACTGTAACTTCATTTCACTTGAACTTAATTTTTCGGATCTTTATCCCACTTCTGAATTTGTAAGGAGGGGTTTTACGGAAATGAATAACGCTCAATTTAATAAAACAAAATAATAATGGAAATTTAATAAAAACAGTAAACTCAAAGACTACATTCTGAAACCGATTTGACATGCACGCTCCGAGGTCGATCTACTCTGTTTCCACTTCCGTGACCCACTGCTCTCTCACTTCATTTCTTTTATGCGTAAGGCATCAGGCCCTGCAACGTTGCACTTAAATGAGTCACACCATCTCCGCGTGTGCCCAGCATCTCACTCACATACTCACACCCACACTATGACATAACATTCGAAAATTCTCGCTACAATAATAAAAAATTTGTTATTATTTAATAAAAAAAAACTCTAAGAGAATTAGAATTTAGAGAGAAAAAATTTCCGCTTCACCCAGCCGGGGAATGGAACCCGGGTCTCCCAGATACGCGCCGGGTACTCTTACCGGCTAAGCTACCGGGAACCACAGAAATTCACTCTCAAATTCACCTCAAACACCGCCTAACCTCTTTTAGTAATGAGTAATTATCAAAGAACACCATACGGCTTATGGCAGAAATATCTCTTCATTATGATGGTGCAACTCATCGGTTGCCCATGTGGGCAATTCGGATCCATGAAATAATTTCTTTGCTGAAATCGTACAGAGACTCGAAATTCAACGGGATCCCTGTATCTTGATTTATGCATGAATTCCTCTTGGATTTTGATATTTTTGTGTCAAATTTTTGTAACTTCTCGGTATGGACGGAGCCAGTTGCCATTGCTGAAATACATGATGTGTCGGAGAATTCGACTAGAAATCGAGAAATCCTTCGGCGAACTACGTTCATTGCAATTGTCTCGAATCACCTATTCGAACTGCTGATAATCATGTACGCCCAGATGCAAAGGTACAATCCGGAATCAGTTGTATTATTTTCGGAGGATTTGAACAATGGAATGCACATTGGCGTGAATAACAACCAATCTGATATTTTTTTTAGGTTACCTCTTATTCGACACCATCTAAAACTGCCTATATATCAACAGACATTCATCAGGAAAATTTCGGGGGGAGGATTATGGAGCGGATCAATGTATACCCCATTATGCTGAGCTTAAATATGATGATTAATAACGTCCAGTTATTTGTTTCCGTCCTGAGTCGTAAGACCCACATGTCGCATTCCTCCAAAAAAAGTCAATTATGACCCAATCATCCCGGAGCAAATCAAGGTATTATGATTTGATTCGATAGGTATTATCATGAGGAAGATTTTGACACCAACAAAATTGCATTGGGTAGAATAGTTTTTCAGATATTCGAAAAAAAAACGATTTTTGAAATATTGCTATATCTCGAAAACTACTTGACTGATCAGGTTGAAATTTTGCACAGTTATAGTCCCAAGTAATGCCCATTATTCAACAGAATTCTAGATTATTAGCATGAAATTGTTATTCCTTTTTGCTTCCGAATGGAAGCTTTGAAATCGTTCAATTTTTCGAATCTCTAATTTTACTTGGAAATGATGCAGAATGGTTTAAAATGTCAAAATACAAAATTTGAGAATCATATCTGTCGCTGCGGGTGGTCAATTTGATCAACATCATTTTTAATATTTACAAAAATAAACATATACAACACTTGACTAAAGTATCACTGAGGACTAACTCTATACGCAAGTTCAGCTGAATCGATCCAGTCGTTTTTAAGAAATTGACATTTGTTTCTGAATCGTTTTTTGTAAATATCTTCAAAACTATCGATTTGAACTTTTTTTGTTCAAATTTTTTGTCTTGATGTTATCTATTTAAATCAATGAAAATATATATATATGTTCTCATACAAAGTTTTTGAGATATTTCAATTTTTCTATTTTCACTTAAAATTTGTGTACTCTGTCTAATTTTCTTAAAAGTCAAAATAAGTCTCTTAAAACGATTTGTCATTATGAATTGAATTTCTTGATTATCCACTGATTTTGTATGTCAAACTCTCGAATCAAACTCACAACCTTTCGCACACTAGGCTCGCACCTAGCCGCTTCGGCCACCGACGTCGGTGATCATTCCAGTTTCGGCTTAAAATATTTGTATCCTTGATATTTGGAAGCTTCAGAGAGCAGTGGTATTATGATCGTATGGATCGCGCTTTTTCGTTAGAATCTGTTTGATTTCTGTGACTATTTTCGTTTTTTTCTTTTTGAACGGGTGCTCCTTACGATAGTCCGCCAGAAGAGTAGAAGCGTTCAAACTTCTGGTTTTGACTCACGACGGTTTTGGGTAATTTTTCCATTTGACCTGATACCCAATTCTTCTTTTCCGTCTCCGGTGTTTCAGGATGCTCACAATCTCATACTACTCGTCTTCGGAGACTTCGGAGGAGTGAAATTAGTAAGCAAGTAATGAAACTAGATCTAAGTTCAGTGGGTTGATGTCATTCGATTAAATTACTGCCTTTAGTCTTGCCTCGGTTTCCTGAGACTTGTACAGCGGACTCTGCTGACGCCGGCTTACTGCAACCTTGATGATCGGAAACATCTGAAAATTCAATATGAATAACTGGATGATGGCTACAGAAGAACGAATAAACTATGGAATCATTCCCAATTGTATGATTAAACTTTTGATCACGTGATACATTCAAAAGTGTTGCCTTAGTAATAACAATCATTAGTTAGAACCGTCGTGTAGCAATGCAATGAAACTGACAGAAGCAATGACACTTATTTCAATTGGATCATTGACGAACTTCTGGCCAAAACAAACTCTAATTCTCTAAAAATAATTCACGATCATATTGGCACGCTCTCTCGGAACTCATATGATTGATGGATACAAAACAAGATCTGAAACGTTACATTTTATTACTCAATGTAAATGCAGAAACACGAAATAATCAGTAATTCATCGAACAATGAAAAATAGACGAGAGGTGAGAAGTCGACTCCTGACGTACAAAATCTTTTGTGGATAATCAAGAAATTCAATTGATTATTGCACACGATTTGTTCGAAGGTGTAATATGCCATGATTTGAAGTTATATCCAATGCATTGATTCGCAAGAAAAAATGGTTCACTTATGAGTTTTTAAATCATCCTATCGAGAAATTTTTGTATTCCCCTGAAGACCGTAAGGACAAACCTTGTACGACTCCACCTAAATCTAATAAAGTATCCGGTGCTCCCTGGCAATTGTGAATTTTTCTAAGATTATTGCCCCTCATGTTCTGCGATAGAATTCAAGATGTAGACGATGATGACTGGCGAGCAATTCTATTACTCACCGGAATAATAGAAATAGTAAGTGCTCCCTATATTGATAAATTGTGTACAATATATTTGAACCAATTAAACGGACAATACATGCAATTGAGAAAAAAGTATCCCAAAAACTTCGTCCCAAGCATCATTACTTGCAGCATTAGCGCACTTTAATTTTACAGTTTAGATCGTTAACGAAATGCTGGACGTTAAGGTTCGAAAGCAAACAGGGTTTTTTAGAAGATTTATTTCAAAAGAAAAAAACGTGAAAAATGTTATGAAAACCGCGAGTATTGCGCATGAATTACACCAAAGTTATACCGAAACTCATTTCAGATGGCCGTAAGGCAATTAATTTTTTTCAATCTGTATTTATCTTCTTTCTGTACCTCTACATATTAATTTTTCGTTCGTAGACGTTACCGGCTTAATAATAGTCCTATTCAAAATCATCGAACCCGAGAATCCCTCCCGAAAAGTCGTTAATCAAATACAGCCTCTGAGGTAATTGAGAAATCACTGACGAAGTTCAATATAACCGGCAGCCACCCGGGTAGAAAAAATCCAATCTTTCGAAGAGTAGATACGCAGTGGCGGTTCTGGATCAAATGTGGGCAAGGGGGGTCGGGGTGAGGGTGTAGCGCTTCGCTAACATCATCACTGAGAGGCGTATCGCACCGCTCTCATACATACACACCTGAGGAACACACGCACGTCTCAGGTGTAGCAATCGCTCCCGCGCTAGCAGAAGTTAGTCGTCTGGCTCATCCCAGGATTCATCTCACCCGGGCGGCCCGGGTTCGATTCCCTGTATCGGAGCCAATGTAGGATTCGAGGTTGTGGTTGTTCGGGAAGATAACGAATCAACTACTGTCACGTATTCCTACGTGGTCTCCCCCAAATTAATCAGAAATGTAAAGTTAAATAACATTTTATTAATCTATGGTATGAAGCTAAGTCTCATTACATTTTCTCGATAAAAATATAATTGATGATGAAAAACTTCACAAAAGTAAATAACATAGATAATTTTTATAAAAACATTTCACCATTCTCAAACTGTTGCCTTTAAATTCCAGCATGCATCCTTGATCCTTCAGAGTTGAACAACTCCTAACCTGATACTTGCTGAACACCAGCTCCATGACGCATGATATTTATTTGCTCATATCAGAGCCCATAAACTCCAGAAACAGGAATTTACCTGAAAAAGAGAAATAAGGAATGAAATAGAAATCTCTGAAACATTCTATAATCGCTCTATCGACAACACATTCCCAGAAAATGACTAAATACACACGACAATGACCTCTATTAACGAAAATAAAATAAAAGAACAAAACATACTAACGGAATTACCACATTCCCAAGGTTTCCTTATCCTGGTCTATCCAGAGTGTCCAGGTACAGCATCGACATGCTTCCCAACTCAAAAATAAATTACTATTTGGCAGAATAACTATTTCTGGCCCATCCTGAGCATCCTAAGCCTCAGAACAGACCCTGCAGAGTCAAATTCAATAAATAGATATAATACAGGCATGTCAAATTAATAAGAAATATTGTTTAATCATAGTCGTCCTCGCGACACTAATATTTACCTTAATAAGCTGAATTATACCTCACTCTTATACATTTCTTGAGGGCATATCGTCCTAATGTTCCTATGCCTCAAGTGCATTCCTGAAAAGGGAAAATAACATAATCATTTACATGAAATAAAACATATTCTATTTCAGCTACATTATAAAATAAATAAATATGGATATAAAATTTTACGTACTAACAGTTACGCACAAGGTAGCCAGTTACTCTGATGTCCAAATAATTATCCTGGAAAAGGAGAAAATAACAGTAAATAAATAAATACATCAGATTTATCATTTCAGAATGAGAATGCAAATAATATAGACAATTTAAATGTCTTAATTCAATAAATATTTTTCATAAGCAAATAAAGCTATTATTCTCTCCTTGAGAAAAGGAAATATTAATCGGAATAAATATTCAAATGGAAAGTTCAATAAAATAAACAATAAAACTGAGAGACTATATGACAATATAATCAAAATAAACTCAGTCAAAACAGAACCATGGGGAACATAATCTCACCTGTCACTTTGACAAAAGCCAATATATTGAAATCTAAGCAATGAATGCAGGTAAAATCATGAAAATTTATGATTAAAATATGTGGAGAGGAACAGAACACTTTAAAAATAATCAAAAATATAAAAAGTTAATAAATAACTATTTTACCTATTTATTTTTAACTATTTACCTATTTTACTCCTCTCGTATACGTTGACAGCCTGTTGTCACTCGAAAACATGACCTCAGAAAAATCAATAATGCTGAAAATAATAAAAGTCCATTAGAAACTTAACAAATATACACTTTGAAAATACTTATCTCAGAGAAAATATGTGTCACTATGACATTGCGTTAGGTCATGCGCACAACTATTCCAGCGACAGTCGCTGCTTGTGGTAATGCTCGTTCGAAGCGCCGCTAGGTATCCAAACCTGTAACTCAAAATAATCGAATTAATTCAATTAAAATGAAATCAAATAAAAATATTTTTAGGGACCAGTAAGGCCTAAATATTATTTCATTTATTGTTTGTTTATCGTGGGCTCCTTAGCCCACGATAAACAAACAATAAATGAAATAATATTTAGGGACCAATAAGGAGCCCACGATAAACAAATAATAAATGAAATAATAATTAGGGACCAATAAGGAGCCCACGATACATTCAATGTGAACGATAAATGCGAAATAAAGTAAATTTATGAGCGATCGAGCTCTGCAATAACTGAGAAAACTGCTATTTTGTCTCAACAAGAAAGCTAACAAAAGAACAAAAGAGAAAAGATATATCGTAGGGAGGGAGTTTTAATTAAATTCTATTAATTCGGACCAGTAAGGAGCCCACAAATACAAATACAAAACAAATACAAAACTACTTAAAATTTCAGACGAGTTGGCCCGTCATGTTGAGGCAAGTGAGGAGCTGCGGCAACGAGGAAAGTGCTCGCGAAAATATGTCAGATCTCCTAAAATTCTAGAGTTTCCAAGAAGAGACTAAATTTCCGGATCTCAGCAGTTGTGTGACTCTTTCAAACATGAAACGAAAACAAAGGCATTTATCATGATCAAGAATATTAACAAAACAATCTTTTCCACCATAGATAGTTAAAGACCAACCAAATTCCAGTGGCACGCGAAGACATCAAGAAAACGGCAATAATCACGCCATTTGGACTCTTCGAATTCCCATACATGACATTTGGCCTCTGAAATTCACAAGGCCAACAACGGTTAAATCGCTACGCAGACACCTCGGAACTCTAAATTTCTACCGGAAGTTCATCCCTTGGGAGCAGCAGAAATCCTCGCCCCGCTGAACGCCGCGACTCAGGAGACGAACGTCAAGGGAAACCAGTAGCCTAGTCTCCAGCCCTTGAAGAAGCATTCACGCGCAGCAAGCAAGCGCTAGCAGAAGCTACTCTGTTGTCTCTTCCAAATATCGCGGCAGAGAGGGCTTCACAGACGCGTCGGATCACGCGATCGGCGCCGTACTACAGCAGGAACACCACGGTTCCTGGCAGCCGTTAGCCTTCTTCGGTAAGCAATCTACGCGGCAGTATTGCACTTCAGGCACATCTTTGAAGGACTTGTGATAATTTTCACCGATTACAAACCGCTGACTCTCGCGTTCCAACAGAAACCGGAACGAGCTTCACTCTGGCAATACAGAAGACTGGCTACATCGCCCAGTTTTCCACGGACATCAGATACGTCGCGGCCCCAGACAATGTCGTGGCAGACGCCCTGTCACGAGTAGAGGAAATCACGACTGCCGTCACACCTCAGCAGCTGGTAGACGCCCAACGCGACGATCAAGAACTCCAGCAACCGGAGGTGAACCTGCGACTGGACCGCTTACAACTCCCAGGAATGGACGAACCACTGTACTGTACTGTGATGTATCATCAGGTACAGTTCGCCCATACGTTCCTGCTTCGCTGAGAAAACAGGTCTGCAGCTCACAAACACTGCCTGGAGTGCCAGAAAAATAAGATAACGCGACACGCGGTTACACCAATAGCTAACATCGCGACATCATCACGAAGATTCGAATACATACACGTCGATTTAGTCTCTCTTCCTGCCTCAAAAAGACACAGCTGGTGCTTGACCATCATCGACAGATTTACGTGATACCCAGAAGTAGTTCCATTGGTTGACTCGAGGATGCAAACAGTAATCAACGCGATTCTTTATCACTGGATCGCGCGCTTCGGCATACCCTGTTACGTATTCCCGTTGGATTCTAAGAAAATAAACGAAAATTATTTATTTTTAAGAAATGCAAGGAAACACGGATTTTAATGAAGTTAAGAACGAGATTCGAGATTTTTGGGAAGCCAAATGGAGTTATAGCTGTCGAGCGGCAGCCGGCTACAACATGACTTGCCGTTACCAGGTTGAGTTGACATCCTCGATTTTCCGTTCACGGTAACTTCACGACTTAAATTTGGAGGATCAATCGATCTCCGGGTGTATCGGTCATTTTCAATTTGCTTACCACTTTTTCTGGATGCTTCGGAGGAAGATATTCTGCTCTNAAGAAATGCAAGGAAACACGGATTTTAATGAAGTTAAGAACGAGATTCGAGATTTTTGGGAAGCCAAATGGAGTTATAGCTGTCGAGCGGCAGCCGGCTACAACATGACTTGCCGTTACCAGGTTGAGTTGACATCCTCGATTTTCCGTTCACGGTAACTTCACGACTTAAATTTGGAGGATCAATCGATCTCCGGGTGTATCGGTCATTTTCAATTTGCTTACCACTTTTTCTGGATGCTTCGGAGGAAGATATTCTGCTCTGCACTCGGATTATCGTCCTTCTCTAGGCCGAAAAAACGAAAGCGCCTTTGAATCCACAGGTGGTCAGGAACGAAGATTCTCGTACAAAATGTTCGAATAAAACTCTCAAATAAAATATAGAAATTCACTGGATACAGTTCTTTAAAATATATGCTCTCGATCACTGATGAAATACTGAACACTTGAATGAAATAGAATTTATATATTATTTTAAGGATTTCACGCGTCGGATGCAGAAACAATCGACTAGAGCCATATCGTCAGTCATTCTGAATCGTTATGATGATTCTCGTGGGGTTCTGAGTGGAGACAGCAGTATTAGCCGTCGGTGATCACTCGTCGTCTCGGCAAAATTATCGTAACAATTTTAACGAATGCCGGATGAATTTAGTATTCGGAATTTATTATTTTAAAAGGGATAGGGAAAATCAGGTGAGCCATTATCTGCGAGTGGACAATCCAAGCAATAAAGCCACCCGTGACCGAAACTCGAAGACAATTAACTGTCTGACATTATTCACTTTAGTGAAAATCGGATTAACTTGGCAAACTACCCCCTGTGCGGAAAAAGCGGAGTTATAGCTGTCGAGACAGCTTTAACAGCAAGACAAATCACCGAAATTTCGACTAAGTGATAGCCTATCTATTTGTCAAGAAACCTTAGAATATCCATCCCCAGCCTAGAGGCCGCAGATGAACAATTCGAAGGATTTTCAACACTGACGGTGATTTCAAGGAAAATACCTTGTGCACTGAATAAACTTCACTAAATTAATTTCACTGTGTTTATTTCACTTTAAATAAAATGAATTGACAATTTTGTTAAAATAACACGATCAGTTCGCGGAGATACTAGTCAGTTCTTTCTGCACCGCGGAAATCCAATCGATTTCGGTTTAATTGGGTTTATTTAAGTTTCAAAATTATTTCTGTGTTTTAATATTTTATGGAGATCCAGAGGGGGTTCCATTTTGAATAAAATGAACTTTAAGTTCCAAACTCCATAGGAGACTTGAAAAAAATTCGGTGAAGCTTGCTATAAGCTTATTACCATTGATGATCGAAGTTATTAATTTACCAAGTTGCTTGGAGAGCAAGAGCCCGTTCCCAACGAACGCGGAGAGACGACTGTTCTAAAGGAACAACGATAGGATACTTCTGTTCAGAAGGAACAGCTATGAAGTACTGACCACTACTGTAGACTGATGACTGCAGACTGACTGTTCAGAAGGAACAGCTATGGAGATACTACTGCTGTAGCTCATAGTAAATTGCTAGTAACTTTGTAGTTTACAATATTAAAATTATTGTGACAATATTTCTATTGTACATATAATTTTCTCTCTCTTTTGAAACGTCAATGCCATAGATCGGACAATTTTTATATTTTTAACGTTTCTTTTCAATTTTTCATTTTAAATTTAAATATTTTGTTAATATTCTTGATCATTATAGATGCCTTTGTTTTCGTTTCATGTTTGAAAGAGTCATACAACTGCTGAGATCCTGAAATTTAGTCTCTTCTCGGAAACTAGAATTTTAGGAGATCTGACATATTTTCGTGAGCACTTTCCTCGTTGCCGCAGCTCCTCACTTGCCTCAACATGACGGGCCAACTCGTCTAAAATTTTAAGTAGTTTTGTATTTGTTTTGTATTTGTATTTGTGGGCTCCTTACTGGTCCCGAATTAATAGAGTTTAATTATTTAGATAGAAGATATATCTTTTCTCGTTTGTTCTTTTGTTAGCCTTGTTGAGACAAAATAGCAGTTTTCTCAGTTACTGCAGAGCTCGATCGCTCATAAATTTACTTTATTTCACATTTATCATTCACATTGAATGTATCGGGGGCTCCTTATTGGTCCCTAAAATTATTATTTCATTTTAATAAATAATTTTGTTTATCGTGGGCTCCTTACTGGTCCCTAAATATTTTTATTTGATTTCATTTTAATTGAATTAATTCGATTATTTTGAGTTATAGGTTTGGATACCTAGCGGCGCTTCGAACGAGCATTACCGCAAACAGCGACTGTCGCTGGGATTGTTGTGCACATGACCTAACGCAGTGTCATAGTGACACATATTTTCTCTGAGATAAGTATTTTCAAAGTGTACATTTGTCAAGTTTCCAATGGACTTTTATTATTTTCAGCATTATTGATTTTTCTGAGGTCATGTTTTCGAGTGACAACAGTGTCAACGTATACGAAAGGAGTAAAATTAGGTAAATATTTATTTATTGACTTTTTATATTTTTGATTATTTTTAAAGTGTTCTGTTCCTCTCCATATATTTTAATCATAAATTTTCATGATTTTACCTGCTTTCATTGCTTAGATTTCAATATATTGGCTTTTGTCACAGTGACGGGTGAGGTTATGTTCCCCATGGTTCTGTTTTGACTGAGTTTATTTTGAATGTATTGTCATATAGTCTCTCAGTTTTATTGTTTTTTTTATTGAACTTTCCATTTGAATAGTTATTCCGATTAATATTTCCTTTTCTCAAGGAGAGAATAATAGCTTTATTTGCTTATAAAAAATATTTATTGAATTGAGACATTTAAATTGTCTATATTATTTGCATTCTCATTCTGAAATGATAAATCTGATGTATTTATGTATTTACTGTTATTTTCTCCTTTTTCAGGATAATTATTTGGACATCAGAATAACTGGCTACATTGTGCGTAACTGTAAGTAGGTAAAATTTTATATCCATATTTATTTATTTTATAAGGTAGCTGAAATAGAATATGTATTATTTCATGTAAATGATTATATTATTTTTAAAGGGAAAACCCTTTTCAGGAATGCACTTGAGGCATAGGAACATTAGGACGATCTGCCCTAAAGAATTATATAAGAGTGAGGTATAATTCTGCTTATTATGGTAAATATTAGTGTCGCGAGGACACTATCTATTTATTATATCGATTATATCTATTTATTTATTTTGACTTTGCAGGGTCTGTTCTGAGGCTTAGGATGCTTGGGATGGGCCAGAAATATTTATTCTGCCAAATATTAATTTATTTTTCGTGTTTGCAGGGTAACACGTGGGAAAGCTCTTTGTAGAAGGACACCAATTGTCTCTCGAGCTTTGGAAGGGAGTGCACTAGTCATCAGGCACTTCTGGGAGTTGGGAAGCATGTCGATGCTGTACCTGGACACTCTGGATAGGCCAGGATAAGGAAACATTGGGAATGTGGTAATTCCGTTAGTATGTTTTGTTATTTTATTTTATTTTCGTTAATAGAGGTCATTATCGTGTGTATTTAGTTATTTTCTGGGAATGTGTTGTCGATAGAACGATTATAGCTTGTGTCGGAGATTTCTATTTCATTCTTTATTTCTGGAATATTATTGAATTCATTCTACGAGTCTATGAAGACTTTATTATTTTATTTTATACTCTGAGAGTGAGATTAAGTCATGTCCATGATATTTTTGTTAAATTTGACAAATCAATAGGATCAATTTATTATTTTTAATCATTAATTGACTCGATTTAGTCTTTTTCAGTATTTGAATATTCATTTATTTCTCTTTTTCCGGTAAATTCCTGTTTCTGGAGTTTATGGGCTCTGATATGAGCAAATCAATATCATGCGTCATGGAGCTGGTGTTCAGCAAGTATCAGGATAGGAGTTGTTCAACTCTGAAGGATCAGAGATGCATGCTGGAATTTAAAGGCAACAGTTTGAGAGTGGTTTTTATAAAAATTATCTATGTTATTCATTTTTGTGAAGTTTCTCGTCATCAACTATATTTTTATCGAGAAAAATGTGATGGGACTGAGCTTCGTCGCATAGATTAATAAAATGTTATTTAACTTTACATTTCTGATTAATTTGGGGGAGACCACGTAGGAATACGTGACAACCCCTGAGAATTACATCTGACGATGGCGGTCAATTCTTCTCAGACACCTTCAAGCTTGAGCTTACGCGAGTTCTGGGCACCGAGAGGTTGATGACGACGCCATTTCATCCTCAATCAAACGGCATGGTTGAGAGAATACACCGCCAACTGAAAGCAGCACTGCGAGGTCATGGCGAGGCTTGGTACGACGCACTTCCCCGGGTACTTCTAGGGTTGAGATCCGCGTGGAAAGAGGACCTGCAAACGATTTCCGCCGAGCTAACATACGGGGAACCGATCCGTCTACCCGGAGAATTCCTCATCCCATCGAACCAACAAGCAACAGCACCGGAATTGGTGAGAAATCTATGCCAGCATTTCCGCAGGATCGCGCCGACTCCCGCTGCACATTACTGTACACGTTCAACCTTCATCTTCAAGGATCTCCCGACGTGTACACATGTTTTTGTCCGCGATGACCTCGTGCGAATGGCATATCGATCACCATACATCGGCCCATGCCGCGTAATCAGTCGTCATGACAAATACTTCATACCAAATACTTCAAATACTTCATACCAAATACTTCATACCAAATACTTCAAATACTTCATACCAAATACTTCGTCATTTGGTACAAGTTCGAAGGATTGGGAAACTAAAAGAATACACCGATCTTCATCGACCGACTGAAACCAGCGTACGTACTACCGGAGGACATGGACCAAGGACAGTCTCCATCGCCAGACGTACCAGGAGAGCCTCAACAACAACAGAATCAGCCGCAGCCGAGCACGAGGACGGCGAACAGGACTCAGAGGCCGAGGAAACGCGTAAACTTCGCGAACAGACCGACAATCCACGTCTATACTGTCTAAATTTCTTCATCAAAATTTTTTCACCTGCTTATCACATTTCACCTATTCCGAGATTAATCTTTTTCTGTTGCAGTGCTGAAAAACTACCTTTTTTTTACTTAAACAGGGGAGTCATGTAGCGCACGGATACGACAACGCGCTGTGCGACGACTGGACATCAGTGACATTATCGCACTCTATCACACCCGCCAGTATATAATGCCTTTCACTCGCAAAATTATATCGCGAATCCAAATTCGTCGCCTCGTGCGAATAGTCAGTCTAACACTGACCTCCGATCAGATCACGTTGATTATTCTTTCTCTTTTATATATATATACAAAAGAGAATATATATATATATATATATATATATATAT